CATCATCATCATCATCATCATCATCATCATCATCATCATCATCATCAATTCGTGTGTTTGCTTTGGCATTGACGAGGACATGTGTGGCACTTCTTGTTTTTCCAGAGAGTATCTATGGTATGCCACTATGCCCAACAGTTGCTTGAGCCAGGGCAGAGGAGGGTTTACACTTGGTTCAACTTGCCTCAAGACGAGAGAGATCCAAGATTATCCACGAGCTGAAAACAATTTCTGATTCTGAATGGTTTTTGAAGAAACAACATGCATTTCTCAATCCCCGCGCTCACACTACTTCCAACACCCCCCTCTTACCGTTTCCAGCATGATTCAGCCGATTGCTGTAAGGGCGTGATGTACCACCTTGATTTTGAGAGCTTGGGCCAACCTCTTTGCAAGGCAGGTGGCGTCGCAGTTGCACCGTGTTCTTTCACAGTTGACAAAGTAGCCTCGTTTCCTTCTACTGGTATGCTGTTTTGTAATGTTTTGTCCTTCACTGCCACCGTAATGACATGACCGCCAGCTTAATGTTCAATGCCCGTTAGATGCAGACAATCCTGGACACGTGTGGGACAACCCATGCAAGTTTCAATCTGAGCTTTGGCAGCCGCTACTTTGGCCTTGGGGTCACCGCTATTGGTTGGGTCTGTCCTACTACCTGTAGAGCCGTCAGCACTTATCACTGCTTTACTAACCGAATCATCATCCACTGTTACTGGCATTTGCCGACTAGTTACTAGTTGTTTGTGGGCACAAAACGTGTCCAGATAAGATGAAAAGCGGAAAAGCACATCCACGGCGACGACTAGTCATGGGATCCACAGCGACGTCCCAAAACTCGCTCCGCTCAGGGGGTTTGGGCATCCGACTCCGTGTCCTCTGACTACGTGCCTTGGCCAAGAGGGGGCACGGCCACTGACATGCTAGGTATCTCTGACACCAGCAGCAGGAACAGCTTGAGTCTGTATAAGTATAAGCCTTCCTTCATTTTGCGATTCTCTCGCAAAATCCAGCAGTCCCAAGTTCTGAGGAGACTTGGATCCCATCGGATGGCAAAAACACCGAGAAATGCTTGATGGGCAAGCAGGCCCAAAAAAGGGGGAGGGAAGGAACTGGGTGAAGAACAAGAATCGTGTGGGAGGCCTTGGAGGTCATTCCATGGCTTTTGAGGGATGGAAAACGAGAAAACCTGAATGAGAAAACATGAAACAACGAAAATGGTGCTGGGATTTATGTAGTTTTATGCACATCATGAAGGCATGGCTCAGGACTCGCGTGCGGTGCCAGCTATCAAAGCTAGTTCTCAAAGACTGGAGAGTTTCAATTCTTGAGCAGAGTTCGTGAAATGATTCCCATAGAAGGATGGGGGCTTCAATGCTTTCTATATCATTCATTCTATATCAAGTTGTTGTTTGGAATTCCTGAATTTGTTTGTTATTTCTTGATCATGGTTCAAAGCAGCAGTTCGTACAACCTGAGCCCTGGCTCAGCAGATCCAGCCTGCACACATGTGCAGGTGTCATTGAGTTCGGGAAACTCGCCGCATCGCAAATCCGACGTGGGAAGGTCTTTGGAGACGTTGGACGTCGGATGCGTCGGATGCGTTAAAGCTAGGTGACCTACACCCGACGGAAGCAGACTTCCGAGTGCTTCAACGGGGAGAAGTTCGAGCGGCCCGTCAGTCGCAAGGCGAGCGTTGGCCATGGCGGCCGGTGTTCGGGAGGTGTTCGGGCGAAAAAGAAATCACTGGAAAGGTGGTTTGGCGTGGTGGTGGTTTGGCGTGGAGTCATCTCACGTCATTTAGAAAAGGAGGCCTCAAGGGACGATCCAAATGATTATATTCTTATAGGAGATATGTTTGGGGGTTCTGACAGTATGTGTTTGGCACCAGAGCAGTTTGAAGTATATAATCAAGAATAAAGAATTCGTTCTGTGAGAGTCCACGAAGACGGACCATGACAAGGCGGACAGATGAAGATCCTTATTGTTTTGATTGTTGAATCCTGTAGAACCAACACTTAGACTTTTGTTTGGTCGAATGACCAGAAGAGACTCTGGAGATATATCCAAGGAGTCCGTTATGACTCTGCATCCCCCTACCCTCCCTCACCAGATCTCAATCTGAAGTGCACATCCGCTCGCTGCCAAGCCGACAAATAGCATAAAGCCAACCATTCCAAGCTCTCCCCCACTTGCACCTGTGGGCAAGGACAGAAGATGTTTGAGATTATTACACCTTCTAGGTTGGAGGCCATCGCTATTAGGTTGGAGGCCATTGCTGTTAGATCGGAGACCACAACCCACTTTGGGGCCGAACCGGCAACTCGGTCACCGCGAATCTCCAACTCCTTCGGAGCGGATCGAAGCCTCCGAAGCTCGGCAAAGCTCGGCCGGACGTCACTCCCTTCAGCGCGGCAGAATTGCGAGTGCACGCAAGAAGACTTCGAGTGCGAAGTGGGTTTCACTCGGCCAGTGTGGCACTGAGAGACAGCTATAAGGAGCACCAGATAGCTCCAGTAACTGTAGAGTCAGAATTCATGAGTTGTATGGCATCGTATGGCTGATCAGTGAACTCCATCAGCTTGGATACGCCAGGAGCATCCTTGGGCCAAGCAGTTTGGTCGATTGTCCATTCGTTTTTTTTCTGATTTGCTAGACAGGCGACAGGGTCATCAAACTGGTCCATGAGGGCGGAGGTCTACAGCCTTGAAAGTCCCAGAACCAGAAAATGGGCTGAAGATGACTGAAGTGAATATCATATACTTGCCATCTATACAAAACCGGTCGTTCTGGAGTTCCAGGTCATGTTTTCCGGATTCTTCGGGGATGTCGGCCTCTTTAAGAAGGGGACTCGACTAGACATGACAAGAAGTTGCGTTAGTGGTTGGACAACAGTGTAAGCGGTAAGCACATGCCAAAGAGGAAGCAAAAGATCCCGAAAGACTCTTCCGTTCACTTTTGGCCGGCGCCTTGAGGTCGGCTCGACTGAGTGCAGATTTGCCGATGATGGCAGCATCAAGGATCAATCCGATGGTTTCGGTAGAGCATGGATGGGTGGAGGAAGGAACTGTTTGTTTAGAGACCAACAAAAGACTAAAGACAGACTCGTGGGATCTCGTGGGCTTGTTGCAGCAACTGTTGCACGTTTCTAAACTGTCGTTTTGAGGAGAAGCGCAGGGAGACTTCTCTAGGAGTTGTACAAACTACACATCCCCACCAGGGTGCATAATTGGCTGGAAGAAATGGGACAGTCAAGACAGGACTCCACTTCAAGAAGAGGGCCAGCTGCAGATCATGACCCTGACTGCCCATGTGCTGTTTCGAGTCGTACCATGTCGTAATGTGTCACACGTGAGATAGGTTGTTTGATACGTGACTGGGCAAACTCGCCAAAGCAAAAACGCACCTCCTTCTCTCCTGCCCATGTTTGCTCGGACATCAACTTGAGGGATTGACACAAGAGTATAATTAGGATAATTAGGATTGAATCAACTAAGCACTCTTCGAATATCCTCTATCGGGTGCCACCCAGGACCCAGCACCCTACAAAAGTATATAATATACAGTACATCGCGTTATTCACCACGGCTTTTTCCACTGGCAGATACCCTTGAGCTGTGCTAGAAATGACCACTTCTTCGCCGTCGGGATGCCTAGCCGTGGCCGCCTGCGACCGGTAGACGGTGTGAAACTTATCAGTGCCTGTCAGTTTCTGTTGCTGATCTTTTTGTGAGCTTGGCACCCCATCAAGTCTTGTGTTTCCTAGTGGCACAATTGCGGGTGCTGGCGTGTTCAGGGAAGCAGGAGACTTTAGGTTTGTTCATTTTGCATCTCCCGAGTGATACTATTTCAAGGAGCATTTTTGTGGGCGGTTTCTTCAGCAACCCTCAAACATCTGGGTTCATATCCTGTGAGTCGAGTTCACCATTGGTTCAGTCGAGTGCGACATCTGCTGCTCCGAGAACGGCTACCGCAAAGTGGTCGGCGATACCTGTGAAGGTGGGTGGCAACCACAACAGGCACAGCGAAAAACGCGCCGCCGGGCGACCACCGGACGCAGTGGGACAGAATGGCAGAGGATTGGGGTCGGAGGCACCTATACAATTATACAATTAAGGACATCAGTTGTTGTCATTCGCTTCAGCTAAAGCAAATGGATGTTGTACTTGTCCAAACCATTCCAAGCACAAGCGAATTCCTGTGAAAGATGCAGAAGTTTCAGAAGTTCACTCCTGTTCGCTCCCAGGGGACATCTCCTTTTCCCAGCAGGTCTCGGTCGCCTGTCCCGCCAAGCCAATGAGCAAAGGCCACAGTTGGTCGAAGGGTCGGGCACCGCTGGGGTGAGTCTAAAAAAGATTCAAAAGGCTTAAAGCTTAAAAAAGATTCTTAAAAAGTATATTTGTGTAGCTTGGTCCAAGATTAGATTGGTGCAGGACTGACATAAGGCTTTTGTGAATGAAGCACTTTATGATGAGGCTCACCGAAGTAAAATCCTGCGAAGCTTGCCCAAAAGTAACCAATTCCTTCGATGATCGAGATGCCTACAGTAGTTGTTGCTCTCTCTCTCTCTCTATCTCTCTCTCTCTCTCTTTTTTGGTTCAGCCGTGTGGTCGAAGGGAAGATTGAAAAGGTTTTGACATATTGATACGGCATGCTTTCAATGCGTTCTCGCAATCGTTCCATGTTCGATGTACTCAGGGAAATGCAGCACCGTATTTCACTATACCGCTATACCATACAAAGCATTCCTAGCATTTCTGGCCTTTTCTCATCTTAGGTTTTGGGGTCTGGGGCCTTCCCCAGGCCGCGCTCGGTCACCTTTCCTGGGGTGAGCCTTGATCGGGTGTACCTACCAGATCAGTTTCAGAAATTCAGAAATCGGTCGTTTGGCGTTGATCCGCCATTTGGGCTGCCTAATGCACAAGAACATAAGCTGCATTGCAGCTGCAGTTTGGATGGGTTTGGATATGATCTTAGTCACATACCAAGCCATAATTATGATTGGATGCCCTGTCGTAGCGCCCCCGGCAATGCACTTGATACCAAGATCTTCAGTTGCTCAGCCAGCCATGAGTCAAGGATGAGCTCTTTATATTTGCCACCAGTCTGGGGGTCTCATCAAGAAAGTCTGACTTGATTGGAAGCAGGAAAACGCAAGTCACAAGTCACAAGACATCAAAAGAAGGATGCGTATGGATATATACGTCACCGTTCGCCGAGGCCTAGCTGTTATTGCAGCTCTCATCTATAGATGGGAAAGTGACCTCATGTGGGCCCCTTTCAAAGGTGTTGGACATCGACGTATAATATGTTGCTTTCCGTGAAAAGGTTTCCAATGATGGCACATCGTCCTCCACCCTGTTAAATTCCTAATTTCAGAGCAAAGGGTTTCGCAAGCTTCAGGGCTTTCAAATTTGCGTCCAAGGCCATTTGTCTTCAATTCTCAATTTCCAGTCCGTGGGATTCAGACAGAAAAGGCCAAGGCCAAAGAAACTGGGACAGGGTGATGACTCGACGGCCAAGAAATTTCATCTTCGACTTTGCCACCAGGTGCCTGGTCGGTCTTGGGTGCCATGGGCATGTTGGCTGCGGTACTCTTGGCCGTCAACATGCTGCCAGAGCCCTGGGCTGGTGCAATCGTTGGTGTTGCTAGTAAATCTTCTGAGGCCAGACTTGATTCACCACCTGGCGTATCAAGCTTTCAGTACTGTGCTTGGAAAGCATGTCATGCTTGTACAATGTTTCCCCAAGCCATGGCAACGCCAGAGGGTCCAACCCCCGGAGCACATTGTCCTGTAGTTGACAAATCCGGAAGGCAGTGCAACCCCAACGAGGCTTCTTGATGAATCGATGACTTTCCTCGTTCGCACGGGGTCGCATGTTCGGACGAACGAGGTCGCAGAACGAGCGGGTGAAAAGCATTTTTGCGAACTACGGCCTGGAGGCCTCAGTAGTGCGAAGCTGGAGCTGGTGTGCATGTTCAGGTTGGGACTTGCTCGAGGCTATGACGATTTTTGACCGGGGCCCACCGAGCCTGTCCATTGTTGATGACCACAAGGCAGAAGGTTTCGGTTCTCCCCTTCTACAAGGAGGAACATGGAATCCTTTTAACAGAACATTTTCAGAACTGCTTTTGAGATGCCAAAGGCACGGGAGAACCCGAGTGTGTTTTCCAAAATTGCGAAAGATCCTCTATGCATCTCACGTATAGGCGTTGAGTCTTTTTGGGATCACTCCACGACTCCATGTATCACTTCTTCCCCAGAAATCCCGGCGTAGGCGCTACGACCAAACGGGCCAAAAAAACGACCACCGAGGCTTCGAGAGCTTTGGCGACGTGCGCTACGCGAATATCGGCTCAAAGGCGCCGGAGTCAGGTGCGGACGTCGAGCGTTGGAACTGAAGTGCAGAGGGTTCTCGGAGTCGGAAAAGATGGAGAGCACTCAACCGTGAAAGTGGTTCTTTTATGTTCTTTTGAGTAGGAATTCGACCTGGATTCCAGATTCTGTCATGTTGTGTCTATCAGGTGATGGGTGTCAGTATAGATGAACAGCCACATGAGGCTTGCAAGATCTTGCAAGACAGGGTCCCACTCCGGTTTTAGGACACCAAAGCTGCGGCTTTGGAGAGGGAGTCGGAGATGAGTGGCCGAGTCAGTCTGTTTTCTCAGCTCCATCAACTCTGACTGTATGTTCACCATTTCTTCTGCACCTGCAACGTCCCGTTCATCAAAAGAACCGATCGACTTGTTGTTTTGATTTGCTTTGCCCAAAGCACAGCAACCGCCTGGCAGCCCTCGACAGCGTCGGCACCCGGTTTGACGCGGACTTTATCGAGGGCGACCAGGCGTGGCATGTTGAAGCTAGTGTTGGGTGAGGGCATGAAGGCACACATGACGAAACGCAGGGATTGTCCTCCACGGTGTTGTTTGTTTTTGACTGCTTGCATACATGCACATAATTAGGCTCAGACTCCCCAATTGACCATTCGGGGATTCCTGGTTTGACTGAAGCAACGGCATAAGATACAGATACCTGTACTTGTTGTGGTCGTTACAAGACGATGAATGGTTACGGTTCCCTTGGCAGACAAGAAAGAATCGTGAATCATTCTTGTTTGCCTCGACAGGATGACGAGCCGTTCAAAGGACATTTGGAGATGTTAATAATTAAGTAATTGTGTTCATAGTCAGTTTTGAATGGAAAGGAAGCACACTTGGGGAACGCTCTCCGCAGGCAGAGGATTTTACTGTCGCCTGTCGATCTTGTTTTCAAGACCCACGGGCGGACGGCGGCTACGCGAAGAAGTCGCCAGGATGACTTTGATGCTCCACAGCTCATGAACTACACCAACGACAGAGATAGGCCTTGATGAAAAAGAATGAACAAAAACATTGAAACACTACTGTATATTCTGAAAGCAACATCAATCTTGATGAGAGGTGCTGTTTTGATCTGTTCATATAGTAAGAATCCAGAGACTTTTGGCATTTTGAATGGTGTTTCAGCAGGCGTGAGGAGTGCCTATGTCACCTGCTTTGGGGAAAACAGCAAAAGTCTTGGTGATAGACTCTAATTTGAAGGAGTGCCTTGACCCATCACGACTGGCGTCCTTTGCTTTGCGATCCAGTTGCCAAACATCAGCTGCGCAGGGACAGATCTGACCGTGACAGAGATAGAGATGATGTGCCTTGACGACAATCCTTGGTGACGGACAATCCTCCAGCAGCTGGACCGACGCCGATCTAGAGCGAAAACCAGTCCTAGCTGCCTCTCTAGGTGTGATCTCGAGGCAGGGGCCTTCAAAATCGTCAAATTTCCCAGCGGCAAGCATTTCCATGACGGTCACCGGGGAAACAAACATCATCATCATGATCCTCCACATTTGGAGGACGACGTACAGACGGGTTCGCCCAGGGCACAGCATTGGTCGTTTTTGACATACAGTGACACACAGCTCTACACACATGTGGTCAACTGGCGCACAGGGCATGGGTTCGGTTTGAAAGGCACAGGGATTGCATGAAACATGAAAAAAGAACACTCACCGAAACATGTCTTCTTACGGTCGGTGCGGCGAACTTTAGCAAGCTGAGACAATAGTTCTTGCCAAATCTGTGAACGAGATCACCTGGGTTTTCCCAGCCCACTGCATCCAACTTCTAGACACACCCCTGGCTTCAAAGGAGTTGTTGTCTCATCAAGGTCGCGGAACTGGAGGAACTCCTCGCAACGCTGTAGCAAAAGACGCCTAGCAAGCAACAGGTTGGTGGACATATATAACATTCGTAACATTATATAACTCCATCAATCCCAAATATGATCGGTAGACATAATAAATGTATATATATATATATATATGTATATACAACATCAACACATGATCACCATCCTTCAAGCCATCCACCCAAGCTTTCCACCGGGCGACCCAAAACCATGCGCGGCGCCTCCTTCCACTCCGAGGCGGCTCGGAGATCTGCTTTGGACACCGCCTCTGAGGCGGTGAGGACCTCAGCCGATCCGCCCGTGGCGGGTCGCGACACGAGGAGCGGGCGGAGGTGTGGTGCGAAATGGATGGCATATGGGACGCCCAAATATGCTGGCAATATGTGACACCGAAGGATGCTCAATCTGCTTAAAGCTGGAGAGTGTGGTTCATTGGAGCCTCAGAATTTGTGCATCATCATATATCATCCTTATCCTCATCCTCATCTTGGTCGTCATCATCATCATCATCATCATCATCATCATCATCCTCGTCGTCGTCATCATTACTTGCTTTCTTGGGACGCAATGGGGGAAAAATTTAGAGGCTGTTCAAGTCCGAAGGTCGCGCTTGGTTGCACAAGTTCTGGGAATTGCTACGGGACTGCTGACCGGAATTCGAACGAAAGCACTCAGCAGGACCGCGTGATTTGGTGCGACCTGGTGCCGACCACATGACAATAGGTCCAAGACCAACCGCCAAATGTTTTTATATGTGAGCAGTCTTGGCAAACTGTTTCACCTGCAACGGAATATGACACTTAGCACTCGAGGACTTCAAGGCAACAATGAAATCAATAAGCACATGGCATTTCCTCATATTTCCGCAACATGAATTCTAGACGAACGGCGATAAAACCATAGAATCCCTTGGACTGGTTGGTTTGTCAGCTTTTCAAGAGTTTGACAACGTTTCAGATCCTTGAATCAATAACCCAAACACTGCGCTTCAATGCCGCTCTTGCAAAGGACACACAAAAGAACTTCCTGGGCAAAAACATCAAGGGTTTCAACCTTCAGAACCTTGTCGCCTGCGTCCTTTCTTGCTAATTTAATGGATCATCCGCTCAGTTGCCACCAAGCCAAGAGACCCAGATCAAAGAAGGGGCCCATCTGTCTCTTCCCTGTGGCACCCAAGTCAGTTAGGGTGCTCAGAGTCTTATTCATAGGGTGGGTCCTTTGAATGTTCGCTTGCACCAAACGCTTGCCGGCTTTTGTTCACCGAAGACAGGCGTCGTTCGTTACGCGCTGGCGGTGGACCGATTCATTCCGGTCGACCAAGGTGCCGCGACTCGCCAAACCACCTGGTGGACGTGATGATGAAGGTGTGGATCTTCTTTGAGGTGCCCAGTTGATGGGGAAATGCCGCGCTGCTTAGTGTCCAGCACTGGGGGAATGAACGTGCAGGAGTGCGGAGTGATTAGGTGCTGTTGGTCTTTGGGGTGCGAAACAGTGCAGAAAAATAGTGTTTAGCTCTTGGAATGTAGATGGTGATGGATGGTGCGATTGATGGTGAGTTTGTGAGTTGCTGTATTGGTCTGGTTGGCTTCTGAAATTTGTTGTTGGTTTCTGGAAGTGGTGATGGGTCAACCCAACCCTCGACAGTCACTGTGCGAAAAACGTGTGTCAATGGTGTCAATTTGTGTTCAAGTCTTTAGATGCAGATGCACAGAAGCAGCCCTGTCGAGAAGCAGTGCACCTCCAGTGACCTGCCTTCCTACGAATTGAACATAATTGAACGTCCACCAACAGGAGTTGCATCCAGAGCCATCTCAAGCCCAACTGTGTCCCTCATCCCACTCAGATCCACCTCTCGAAGTCAAAGTTCGGGCATTGACCGGAAAAGGTGCCAATGGCACGGATGAAGTTGGCCTGGCAACTGCTCCGGCCTCAGCGCTCGTCAGCGTCAGCGCACACGTGCACGTGCGTGTGAAGTCCGCGCGGAGCCAGGGGAGAAACTGGGCCTTCTCCCTGACTCCAAAGAAACCTCGCGAACATGAGAGAAGCATGGCTAAGCAGGGGAGCTGGACTAGGGTGATTCCGTATTGCTCGACTGAGGTCCCAATAAGGGTCTAGCACGAAGGCCACCAGACCTGATGGACACCAGACACAAAGTGGTTTGATCAGCTTGGCTGGGCGAGGAAAAGAGACAATCCCACATATGATACATATGCAGACCCTCCGATAAAGAATCAGAGAGATGGATGATTGTGGTTCCTAAATAGATTATATTAATCATGCAACATGTTGCCTTTGCATATCGGTGCCCACTTGATCATGCGAGACATGCTGATGCTCCAAAAGCTCAACCTCTCCCGGCCGTGGCTTGTGCAGCTCTGATGGCCGGGACACTGGATCAATTCATCAAAGTATATCAAATCCTAAACACTCCTGAGCGAGTCCATCGACGGAATTTGTGGGCAACCTAGAAGAACTCTCGTTGAACCAGTTCCTGGACGCACACAGCTCAGTGTGAGCTTCTCGCTCGACCAAAGAAGCTGGCAAAGCCATTGTCAAGATTTAAGGGAAGGGGGTTGATCTTATTGACTTTGCTGGCATTTGGTTTCTGCATAAAACGCCGTGGATTGCGGAATCAAACAAATTATATATATTATATATATAAGACATAATAATTTAATAAATATATATAACAAATATATAAATATATATATATATCGTAACAAAAAACAAATATCAATTATATACATATACATATTAAATTTATAAATATAATAAACATTAATTTATATTGTTAAATTATATATATTTATAATCGATAGGAATTTATTAATTATATAATAAATATATATATTATGAATAATTATATATATTATGAATAATTATATATATATAATTTGGGTAATATTTATAGAATTATTTTGTAAAGAAAAAATATTTTTTAATGAAAGGATATAATTTGATATATTTAAAAATATGAAATTATTAGGGAATTTTTGTTTTATTTTAAAATATAATTTTAAAATTTTATTAATTTATATGAATTATGAAAAATATATTTTATAGAGAGGTTCGGAATGATAATAAAGGAAATATTTATTGGGATAATATATTTTAAATTTGTATATTTAATTTTCACTATATATTTATTTTAGACATTCTTTGGGATAGATAATTATACGAAATTTTGGAATAGGAATATATAGATCGTCAAATTATTGTTATGATATTTTTATTTGATAAAACGATAATAATAATCTAGGTATGATAAAAGACATTGGATTTTATATTATTTTATATATATTTATTTATAAATAGAAATATATTTCGATTATATAAATTCATCCAATTTGATGGATTGTAATATTTGCCGCCGATTGTCGGACGCGATTCTTTTCGTGATACGGCCATATGTTTTTTTGAAGGTCTAAAATTTATTTTCATAATCCATATAAGTGGTTGGAATGAATTTTTTTCGATATATAGATTTCGTGATAGATGGATTATTTCGGATATGATGATAATATTCGAAATATTCGATTTTTTTAATCATAATAATAATCTATTTCTTCTTTATATATTTTTTTATTTTTAGAAATTTGGTAAGTGCAAAATTTTGAAAATCTTAACATATATATTTCGTGACAGATGCAATATATTATATATATATTATATAAAAATTACAATATCTATTTATATAGATTTGAAAAAAATCTTAATAATTTTCATAAAATATAAAATATTTATAAATATTAAATGCAAATTTTCCAATAAATATAATATTTGAATACACGTATTTCAATTCATATTCCTATCCATTATTATGATTAATTCCCTTAATTTCATTTTTTTAATGTTAATTTCCTTCATCAATATCATTAATTATCATAATTATAATTATCGTCAATATCATCCCAACCACCACCATCATCACCGCGATCTCCACCTTCATCACCACCATCACCTCTCTAAACCCCAATACATAAAATTTTCTAGATTTTCTATTTCTAAGGCTTCTAGCTGAATTAAGAAATTTTATTAAACAAGAACATCGACTATATTTTTTCGGAAAAATATACCATTTTTAGATACTATTTGTATCAAAAAATTCGGTCTCTTTTAAATACGTACTAAGATCTATTGTAATTTGAAGGACCCTGCCACAAAGAGAAAGAAAGAGAGAGAGAGAGAACGCGCACTGCTTTTATGGATTTTCACCTGATCAGGAGAATGTATGAAATACAATGAAATGCATTTGCAAGTTGGAATCATGAAGCCATGCCACTTCATTCTATCCAACTCTTCCACGACCCATACATTCATGCCTCATAGGCGGGTCATTCTGCCACTTATACCAGACAAGAACGTAATGCAATGGTCTGAAATCCATCAGAAGCCCAAATTGAGTATCCTATTGTCATCTGGTAGGTGCTGGTGGGAGGGATTAGAAAAATGGGAAAAGAGAGGGTATTAGTCCACATCTTAAAAATTACGATATTTTTATATCGAGCCGTGGCTAGGAACCAACAATTCAATTAATGAGTCACAACCTTGAAAAAAAAAGAATCGGAAAAAAACAAATTCAAGCCTCTCTCCCGAATCTTTCGCCAACCCCACCTACACGACTCGCAAGACGCAACAAAATTCTCACCTGCAAGAACCCGGGGACTATCCAACACCCCGGAGTTACAAGGGTGAACAAAGAAATCATCGTGTAGAATTCGTGGCTAAATTGTTTTTTGGTTCATTTTATCCATATACCACAAAAGGGATATAGATCTATTCTGTTGGTAATTGTTCGTGGCACAAAAATCTGAGATGAGGGGAGGGAGGGAGGTGAGGGCTCAAAATTGAAGGCTCAAAGGATTTCAAATCAAATTCAGACCACCCGAAAAGACAAATTAGAGACAATTTGGGCAACAAATTTAGATAAATTGAATTTTTTTTTCCACACATATATCATGAAAAAGGATGATAGATGATAATTTATAGATGCAACATCCAGAATATGTATCCAACGACGAACGCCCCAAAGAACGAAATTAGCACATTTCATTTCAAATATCTGATTTTTCGTATCCCTAGCTACAATGTTTAGATAGAAATTACAACACGTATCCCATTCCAATCAAGCCCCCCTTAAATCCATGAATAAAACAAAGATCTAAATATCATTGTCCCATTTAATCCATCCCAGGTATTCGATGGAATATAAATCGAAGAAATAGAATATCATATACATAACGAGGTGGTTAAACGATTTAAAATTCGAAGGACATATTATATTCTAAAAAAAAAATCTAGAATCTATTCTAAAAAAAATAATTTCTTAATAACCTCATCAATCATACCCCTCTAGACCTTATCCCTATTATTTATAATCTCTGCCCAAAATAAATATAGATTAAACATATATAATATTATATCCATTATTCCCCCGTATACAAAAATATTACAATCTAGTTCTATTTAATCCCATATATATTCTAAGATTCCTTCCATATATATTCTAAGATTCCTTCCATTTTATCTATATATATACAATATATTACAATACAACATATATATATATACAAATAAATATATACCATAACTCGTAAACCAATATCATTATACCCATTACCAATATCGACCCTTATTACGACAATTCCCGACCACGAGCCACGAATATCAATTAATACCACCACACCTAAGAAATTACAAAACGAAAACCAACGTCTTTTATCCCCCGATTTTGCACACGGCGCAATTCATCCCTACATACCACCTCCTTTCGAATGTGCTTTTTCAAGCCACCCGAATCCTCCTTCTTATTAAAATAATGCCTTGCCAAATACAAAAAGAAGTATAATTCAATTATTAAATATAGTATTTCAATTTTCTTTTCCATTAAATATTCGATAACCTTTTTACATATATAATATAATCCACAATTTTAAATTATCATTCGTATTTTAAATATATATAGGTAAATAAAACATATAACAACATTACAATTGTTAAATTTCGTATAAATATTATATTAGTATATTTCTTAAGAATCTATAGATATAAAATCAAAATATAATTTCAATATTCTAAAAATAATATATTCATTTCATTTCACTTCCGGCCAATGTATTATTGGCCCGTGTTGGGCAGCGCTACGAAAGCGGATGCATCGAGTGCATCAGGGAGCCCCGGAAGTCAGCGCAACCTAAGTTCAACGAAAGGTGTCAGCTAGGAGCTGAATCCATGGATCATCTTCTTCGGCCATCTTGGGAAAAGGCCGGCGCCAAAACTTCGCGAGCCCTTGCTGAGGCACAAGCCAGAAAAGGTAGCAATCCGTCTGCGTAGAAGGGTGCAAACGACTCAGCCAGGGCAAACGATCATCATCAGTCAACCAAAAGTTTCCATTTGTCAACAAGCAGGACTGGTGGTGTCCTGAATGAGGCTCTTTGCCCAGGTGCAGGGTCAAGCTCACGATGCGATACTCAACCCAGTACATATCAAGGCCAGAGGCTCGTCAAAAAATCGGGATCTGGACACATGACCTTGGAAAATCAATTTTCATGTGATTCTTGGTGTGCAAGTTGGGAAAGCGCCCAATCTGAAGACATATTAATATGTTGGGGTGCTCCGCAAACACGCATTGGTATATGGTAACTGCTGGTGCCATGCATGGATCATGGTTTGCAATGCACAAGTCTTTTGGTCAGGGCAGCGGAGCAGGATCGGTGCGATTAGCGTTCCACCGTCATCATGACTGGTGGTCAACCTACTTTGCCATCCATTGGCCTGCGTTCCCCAAGGGCTATTGCGTATGAGTTGTTCACGTTGTTCACGCAAGCAACCATTGTATTCAGCAGCATCCTGCTGGGTTCCCCAAGGATGAGCGGTCAGCCATGGACCGTGAAGCGAACGAAGAGGCTCATCAACAACAAAACCGGCCAACTGCCATCCAGCATCTGTCAGGAAGGACAAAAGATGCGTACCCCATTCACCCCAATCAGATGGAGTGAAGCTAGCGTGAAAAGCCATCGACCACAGCTGACTCAACATGACACTGTTGAGGTAGCATGTTTTGCCACTATTGCAAAAGGCATATTGGCAGTCCGGCAAACACGGAATCTGGTGCATATGACGCATGTGTCGCTTCAACATCCCCGCCTGGTTGAATTGTCGATGGCATTCCGGGCACTTGAGAGGTTGATCCTAAGCAT